ACTAAATTTATCGTGTAGTCTGTTCCGTGTATCATTATCAGGTCATTGGCTTCAGATTTTTTTTAATGACAAGAATTTATCTACTTTTTATACTCTAATAAAGATTAAACTCTTTTGCGCTCACCAATAGTATACGTCATTCTCTTTGAACAATCAGTATCCAGAGCGCATTATCTATAATACCAGATAATATACCTCCTTAATCATTCTTTAATATCAAAATGAACTTGGAAATTGTAAACGTTTCTCAGTACTCAGATATAAAATGATTAATACTGGTTCTATCTGACATAGTTTGGGATCATCTGATAACTACTGACTTTGTGAGTGATGATGATTGAATTTGAAATGAAAATCTAGGTCAAACCAGATTTCAAAACAACGCCACCCGGATTATTTGACTCAGTTTATTGGATGAGATATCGAAATATGACAATCTGGAGTTGACAACATTCGCAACAAACATTATTGAATCTAGATCTGTTAAATTCCTAAACTCCAGTAGAATTAATCAGCTATCTATCTTCAAATATTATTTTACATACTGTTAGGCAATGAATAGATACTTGAACGAAGACTTTTATTTATCGTAGTCAGCCCCATTGGCAATCATCATTGTTGATATTTTAGCTCTATTCAGAATTTCATAATGAACCGTACTTATCCCTAGTTTTTATTTTGAATCTTAACATGTTTATTAATTCTATTGTCAATATTATATTTATCATATGTGTCTTCTTCGTAGTTAACAGCTTACTCGTTGCATTTTAGTTCACTAAATGGTAATTACACCTTGGTTGTGTACTGTTAATAAGTACTGGTGTTTATTACTGACTGTTTGGTCAAAAATGATGCTATTCTATCATTTCCTTCACAGTGTTCACCATATCCTACCTATTTATACTTACATCTGAATTATTTATAATATCCACATGCCACTGCTGTCATTCTGTGTCTATCTGTGTGAGGTGTGTGTACAAAACATCATATAACCAACAAGCTGATTCATACAGAAATTTATGAAATGAGTAACATCTGTTCCTTCATGCACGACCTCCCTATGATCAATTTGGAGACATAAAGAACAAATATCAGTACATTTTTCTTCAAATCTGGCTAAAATAAGTTTCGGTTTCGTTTTAAACTTTGGTTTCGCTAAAGCCTTTAGGTAAGCTGACTAAGGTTGCTTACAAATTCCCTTTAGCTGCTTAAAATATAATTACATTAAATTTAGACAACAATACAAAACAATCACGGAACTTCGTTCACCAATGAAAATGAAGGTTTTAGTGTATCATTTTAATACTTCATTTTTTAACAAAGCACAGTGAGAGTAGTTTTTGTTGTTTTACAAAAGAAGATGGCACATTCTATTAACTTGAAGTATTACGTTGTATCATTTACCATAGTTATTACAGCAGTGATCACCATCTTTCCTCTTCACTTGGTGTTTTTAATAACTAATTTTTTGTTAAACTACACTTGTCTATATCACCTTTTGTTACCTACCTAGATAACACTCAAACAAATTGTGAAACAACCTTACTCCTTAATGTAGAATACCCTTCAAAATCATATGGTGGAAAATATTCACAGACGGGAAAGAAAATACCCAAATGCTTGTATCATGGATGTTTCTTCATTTAAATTTATCGTTAGATATTAACTATAGTCTTTTTTAAGAGTGTCAGAAATAAGCAAAATCAGATGTGTTGATCTCCAAGAACAATCTAGACAGTGATGAATTGAAATTATACCTCATCCATGTCAATCAGTTTCGGTTCTGTCATTCAAAGTCTTAAAACGTCGTTCCCCTTTTTCAAACTATGATTAATGAGAATCCATATTGTCGTGCATTATTTCAAGTTAGTTTAAAAAACCAAAGGATTAAAGAAAAAAATTAGAAAATATGAATTTAAACACTGATCTGCAGTAGTGCTTTGGAACTGTGTACATCTTAAAACGAAGCTTTTCAACAGTTTGCAGTGTGCACATATGCTTATCCTATTACTATGAACATAAGACTTCACTTAACTCAGCAGTGTTCTAAAATCAAACGTTCATCATCACAATTAAACACACAGGGAATTGAATAATAACCTGAAAAATCACTTCCTACTATGCTTAACGTATAACGGCTTCTTATCATTCATGTTGACGTCACGTTTTTGCTTGGGGGTTGAACAAAACATGAAATCACATGGCACTTAATTATATAAAATTGAATACTTTAACTTAACGTAATGTTATGAATGATTTCGAAAACTTCACGAATACTTTGAAGGCTCATGTGAGTGGCTTCGCACTGACGAAAATTACTCAACCCACATAAGATTTACTGCCTCAAGTAGAACGAAATCCAATGCTATCCATAAACTAAATAATATTATTTGAGTAAAGTGAATATTAAGAATCCTTTCAGTGACTTTTCCTATAAACTAGATGCAATATGATTTGTAATGTTTAAGGTATTTGGTAGCCCAAGATTTAAGCAGGCCGCCGCCTGATATATCAATGAATTCCACAGGGGATATGTATCCAGAAGTCAAAAAATTGCCTACTCAAATACGTTTAAAATAAGTATACACATATTAAGACAGTGGTATAATAAATGTTTAGCAAAAAGTGAATAAAATAGTACTTTGTGGAGCACTTTTCTGCTTTAAAAAGGAAACTCATAAAATCTGTGCCAAAAATGACCTGGGTCTAATTATTCGCTAATTACAATTTCTGTACTTTTTACTCTTAATTTGTGAAAGATAGAAAATATTCAGAAAAAGAATTATACAACCAGCGGCACAGTAAAGATGTTTTGTACCTCACGTTTGAAAAGATCAACAAAATCCAATTGGACAATGTTACTTGTCGAATTTTCTCATTCATGGAAAGAGAATGAAAATTTGTTTTTCATTCTTGATTTTATGAGTAAACTTGTAATTTGTAAAGTTTGATGAATAAATTACTGATTAGTGGTTATGGACATTTTTTAAAAATTATGAGTTCCGGTGATTTTGTTTGTTCCACTTGTAAGATTTAGATATGATAAAGAAGATTTGTAGCTCAGGTGGATGATTTTGATGTGGTTGTGTTCTCTGAGCTAGGTAGTTAATTTGCGAAGATTCAATTTGAAGTATGCACTGAAGACGTCGCCTAGTAGGGCGATGAAAGCTTCGCAAATTAACTATCCTGCTCAGAGAATACAACCATATCAAAAATTTATTTGTTCAAACATCGTTTCCTGAATGTCAAAGCTTTTGTAGTAATTTGTATTCTGAGTCAAAATCTGTAAAACCATTTATCACTGACTACAGCCATTTATACACATAATTTTGTCACTGCCTACCAAGGTACCTAAACTGGTATTTGACCCTGAGACTGATCATAGAACAAACCGAAAACATTTGTGGTGCAAGATTATAGACTGACAGGGTGAACGGTAGCTAGAAATTACGTCACTGCATTTCTGATGTTGATCTGCGTTTTCCGATTTGTATGCGTATCATAATGATAAGCAGAATTCTGTGACCTCCAGTAATGATATGACTTGTTATTCCGTACCTGTTTTTCACTTTCTAAGGACGTTTGTCTTGAGTTATGCGCAACTGTTTCTCCCAGTTAAATTAACAGATATTGGTAGCTTCACAAACAATGTTAAAAACATTCACCGGTGTGCAATGTGTAGACATTAAGAACGCCTTAAATCATTAAAGCAAAAATTTAATTTAGCCACTAGAAGCTGAACTCTCTTTCCTATAATTTTGTAACATCATTTGAAGATCATTGAAAATTAGAAGATACGATGACAGCTTTTTCATCCTAGTCTGAGACATTTAAACAGTCCTCATCCATGACACCGCCAAAGACCAAATCCGGCACCTGATCTTCTGTGATCTCTAAATGATATTGATTCATGACGAAACCTAACAGTTGGTGTATCTGGTTTCTCAAAATGCTCTATTTAATTCTAACTATTTTTTGATAGAAACGTATAAAACACTTGAAAGAATATTATTATTTCTGACGAATCATCGGGTTATTTGACACTATACTAGTGACTGAGTAAACAGGGACTGATTTAAAGATTTTCATTTCACTGTATATTTGTAAAAGGCACAAAACCAAAGATGCATGATTTGGGAGTGAATGTACAAAGCAAGTTGGTTGTGCAAAAGTGTACCTGTTCAAAGATATAAATGAAATATTTACCATGAAGCTTATAAGGTTAAAGAGGTCTTTCTAAAATACACAATACTGAAATATTAATTTAGAAAATTGTTTGTGTATATTCATGGCTTATTTGACTCGTTTTATTGCAAAAGAAATCTCGAAATGCCTTTCTAAAATGCCCGACATGGTCGTAACTCTTATTTGTGGACAAGTGCTTCAACAAAACCGAATCAGCGAATAGATAAGCTGCGTTTGTCTATAAACTGAAGCCGCTTTCCACATACTTCTCTCTGTACTTCTTTTAACACCTGATTTTACCACTTGTGTGTTTGGTGGCGACAAAAAAGATCTGTCGAGGTGCAAAAACTCAGATTTTCTACAGAACATATTTTCATAAAGTGGTATTATAGGCCAAGTAACCATCAAGTAACTATATGCCCTACTTTTCGAAATTTGATCACGCAACTCATCAGCGTTTCTTTAATTTTGGGTATTGCTGAAATCATTTCGATTAGTGAAGACGCTGACATCATGAAAACAGTTTTAATACATCAAACTGTGGTCACAGGAATACAAAGCAGAAAATATGCATATGTGTTAAAGTATATACTGTTGACCACTGGGCAGAAAATACCACAATTAATGCTACCTAAGTATTTTTCTCATGGAGACCGATTAGGGAAATAGCAGGAATTCTAGTAATTTCGTTTTATATTAAATGCGCATGTTTGTGACCAACTACTCATATGAATACATCGAATACAAGCGAATGGATTTGTCAGCTAAATATTAAAAATGCACTTGAACATAAATTAAACAAAAATGTCTTTATTTTTAAATCTCAAGGTTCTTGTTTTATATAATAAGTAGATTTAACCAAAAGCAGACAAAATGAATTTTATTTACATCAGAATGAACACAGTGTCTTTAGTCACAATTTTCGGTAAGTGTAAGGGGAAATAATTATCACACGAAACTTACGGAATACTGTATGTCACATTGTTCAAGAATAAAGTGAGTTTATGTTACTTTTTTTAAGTTTTAAGATTCTATTTGATGAACTTCACCGAAAAATGAGGGTTTCTATATTCATTTCTCTTAACAGATAGCCTTCCTTTCATTTGTTTTTAACAAACTTCATCACCCTGTAAACTCAGATACCCTGACAACTTCTTGTGATATGCAGTATATATACAGCAACTTAACAGAAAGTAAACAGCCTCAAAACGTTACTTCTGACTGATTGGTTAACACTTGTCTTGTCTGACGTCTTGCATACCTCCACAGGCGTACAGTTTCCTGTCGAAAACGCTTGCTCATAATTAAGTAGATGATAACATTTGCACATGAATCCAGAACGACTAAACTCTTTAATGCATTTGTCACAAGATCGAATTGTCCATGGGGAAATTTATACTCAAATATTACACAAAAGAATACTGGTGATTCAAATAAAATAAATACAACTGTAAGCAATGTAACCATACGTGTAGCTCTGACTTGATTTTGTAAACGACGTTCATTCATTTTATATTCAAGTAAAATTTGATGTTGTCTTGTACGTGTAGAATTTTGCTTAGATGTATATGAACAGTCAGCATTAAAGTTGTTATTATTGACGTTAATTGGATTACTTTTATGAACATCTGACCGTTCTGTAGATCTATTCGGCATATTATGATTTAAATTAGGTAATTTGTGACGGAACAAAGCAATCAACATAATAATTGTTGTTAATACAACAATTAATATAGGTAATGCTGATTGAAATGTGAAAAATAAATCCTTAGCAATTCTCCATTGCGTATTTGGTAACAGTATAATTCTGTTATTTTGATTCAAGCAAACATCTATTTGCTTTTCAAACAGTCGTAAAACACTGAGCAGAAATCCTGTCAGTATGCAAATAATTGTACACACGGCCATCCATTTTGGTTGGAATAAATGTGAATTTGTTTTTCGTGACATCATCGGTTTAGTTATTGCAACACAACGTGCTAATGATATTAACGTTATAGTCCAGTTTCGTGAACATAAAGCACCACCAATTAAAATAAAACACGCAATATCTATAAGTGTCTTGAAAAGATTTTGTTGGTCACTAAGTAGTTTAGTTGCATAAGATAATGAAACCAGGAAAATCATTAAATTCAACAGTGCTTCGAATATTGTCAGTGTAATTAAATTAACTCGCATTGAACCTAAACGTATTGCTTGTGGTCTAGTTAAAACTGTTAATGCTAAACAACTGATTACCAAAGCTATCGGACTTAAAACAAGCAAAAATAAATATATCGGAAATATATACACTTGTTCATTTCCATCTCTCGTATTATTGTATTGTGTACAGTTGTTAATATATGATACAAATTTGGTTGTATTCATTAGACTTATGAAGTTTTCTGGAGTGTATTGAAATGAAATAAACTACTTCCACAGTACTACTAAAGTCGTATTAATTCATATCGATGTAAACAAAAGGTCGGTGTTTTGTGTCCATAGTATGAAGTATAACATTCAGAAGTGAACCAATGGAATGCTGACTTTAAAGTTAATCCATGATTGGTCAATAACCATGACAACAGCCAATTATAAAAAACCTATTTTCCGAAAATGACAGTAAATAGAGAAATCAAGTGAAATGAAGCTACAGTGAGTAAATTATCCCGAGATATTTTCCCCTATGTGAATATGCCACGAGGATATAAATAGACCATAAAGCATTCTGTGGCTACTCCAGGTTAACGAGTAATTCGTCGAGACAATGCAGAAAACAATAAACCAGCAACCTACTTAAATGACATCTGACATCAACTGGTTTATAAAAATGACGAATACTAATTTCACCACTTTGTGTCTCTTTATTCTCTATGATTATTTTTAAGAGTGAATCACGGATTGATATCAGTTAGAGAAGCATTGAAAACCGGGGAGTACTGGACAGCTGTTTCATCTTAGTTTGGGAATCTTCGGCATTACGCACCCACTGGGGTTTGAATTCAATATCCCGTCGACAGAGTCTATTTATGACTTAAGCACAGATGCAGAAGTTAAAAACAAACTAATTAAAGCGTAGCATATGAATTCAAGTATTTCCGCTCCATTGTAAACTGATGATTGGGATTCTTCATATCACCAACCTGCATAAGTCTATAAAAAAGTAAAGGATTAGGGTCTAAGGGGCAAATATTTTCTGGCTTGTGGATATGGTAATTACACCGAATCTTCTACAATGGAATTTAATGATTTAATAATTCCCATTGTAGCATAAAAATCACAATATTCAACGAAAAAAAGTCTTTTCAGAGAATTTATTATCAAGCTGTGCAGTTGTATATATGGTTTTTAAGAAATTATAGCCAATTCACAGCATAGCGCGATCACAATGCCTTCTCCGATGAGTTATTGCCGCATCTTCAACCTGCTGTATCCTTCTGGTCACGGATTCCCGCTAGAACCTCAGGTAACTGTCTAAATAGGGCAGGGGGCGTACTGATGAAGAGTCCCAAACTAGGGCGAAACAACTGTCTAGTACGCCCCAGAATATCCAGTGGTTCTCTAATCAAACCAATCAAACAAAATCCCTACAAAAGCAATACTTAAGATATTTGTTATTATAATCGCAGTTAAATGTCAAGTGGCAAAACAATTAGTGTCGTACATAGAATTATTCATAATATGTATATATGCTGGAAAGGGGTGCATAATAATAGTATTAGTAGGCTAATATAAAATGTTACATAACACTGTGTGAAATTTGATAAGATAGAATTCGATATTCTAAAAAAATTTCGATTTAGAATAACAAGCGGGACAAGCGAAAACAATGCAGAGTGAAAATAGTAATAATAATAATTGCATTAATGAAAGAAAGATACATAGATTAACTAAACAAACAACACCAATAGATAAATAAATGCCTATCCCTCTATGGCCAAGGCTGAAGTATGGATTGTACACACTTCTTTTGTATAAAAAGTTTGGCTTAAATTCATGAATGATCAAGGCCTCCGCTATCTTTAGAAGCTTACACCAAAAAAAACGTGCCAAGTTAGCATGGATTCGATAGATGAGCTCAAAATCATTGTCAGATTTGGTAGAGTGACAAGAGTCGATCAGGTGTTCTAGAATAAAGCTTCGTACACTCTTCCTTTCTCCCTTATAATGGAATTATCTTCGTTGTGTAATCTTTCTTCATGTCCCTTTGAGGGTTTGAAGGTTTTTCACTAGTAATCCTACTTTTTCAATTACCTTTACACAATGTAAAGTCCCACAAACGTAATTATCACTGACATTAATCATATCTTGAAGCGTTTCAAATTTTTCACTATTATTTTCAAACTTGCGTGACAGTGTGTTACCTATTGCTTCAATTTATAATTCATTTTTACTTATCATTACAGTAAAATGTACATAAATAATTATTTCGATTATGAGGCTTCAGACTCTGTTAACGTTTATGAATTGGTTCAATTTTTTTCACACACATAGTAACAGTTAACGAGCAAAGAAGACATTGGGTATTTTCAGAGTATTTACGAGTGCTGACGGTAAGAATTTTACTAGTAGTATTCCACACAGAAAATTTGATAACATTTTCAAAATAAAATGCAGCTAACATGAATCAACTGAAATTCATCTTTCGCAGATTAAGCCATTTGGGGTGAATATTCCCTGCAGTTGTTTTGGAAACCTACAATATTCCGATCACAATGTGGGTTGGAGAAAATCATAGAGAGAGCCCAATGTTATATACTGTTGACACATGGCAGTAACCGGAAATACCTATAGGCAGTAGTTAGCGATCCGAGAGCTAAATGAAGCATTATTCTCTTACGACTTGTTTGGTAACAACTCAAATTTAATAGACGTTTTGTCAACCATCATTTTTATATTTCAACGTCAACAAAATTCTTCACATCTCCGAAATTTCGTTGATTCACTTATAAAGTAAGTGTACAACTTTGACTGCATGTGAAATGTTTTAAGTGATATCTGATTTTGTACACTGGCGGTCTTTGTCACTGTTGCTACCTACTGACTTACTCTTTCATTATAAACTGAGTCAAAGTATCTGTTAAGTTTGGCAAACCTTAGCGTCCTTAGTTAAAAAGTTTTGCATTTCAAAATTAACTACCGTAAACTTGTCTGACCAAAGTCTTCGAAAGTTGAGCAGTTATATAGAAATATAAAGGTCAGCTAAAATAGACTAAGTGACAAAAAGGATTTAGGAATAATAATAGAGGTAGGTAAATGTGTAATCAGATTGTTCGAAATGTATTGCACCAACACACCGAAGGTCGCTGAGGTAATAGTTATTCGTAAACGTAAGCCCTGTGTATGCAAAAACAGTTTGTTATTACTCTTAACCCACATTGGTAATCCTTTTCTGAATAAATATACCTTATCTAGTCAACGAAACATCTCTCTACTAGGGAAGTTTCAATTTTTAAGTAATTTACATGTTTAACTGAAAATCATTTGAGTATGATCATGGTATCTATGTTTATTACTATTATCTATTTTATTATTATGACTACCAAATTTATTCGTTCATGGTTTGAATGCAAGATACCGATCTCTATGTTCTACTGCATAGTTGACAAAGCTTCGTTTAAATACGCTGTATCACGAAACATTCTAAAGGTAGGAAAAAAATCATTATTCTTCAATATTTTAGAGGTCCTACTAGACACTAATCACAAAACTCAAATTTACCTTAACAGCGCCGTCAAGGAGCTATACAGACAATGTATGTTTCCAAATGCGAAACAAGTACTATAAGACAAAATTAGTTAACCGAAAATCAACTGTAGAAAGTACCTTAGAAACAAACTCATATCGTTAAGCAGCACATTGCCAGTATGCACACGACCACAAATGAAAGTGTTACAATCATAGTTTAGACAAGTTACAGGTTAGAATAAACTTGTGATATGCGAATGTTGAATTATTGATACATAGTCTGGAGGAAAAGAATATAATAGTTACAAAGTTAGCTGAAACGTTTAAATAAGCGTTGTTATTATAAATAGATCATCCAGGGCAGATTTTCCAAATAATCTGTCCACTACAATTATTGTATTCTAAATGTATCCAAAAGGATTCTGGATCTTATTCAAGCACCATATCACATATTTTTACTGTGGCTTTTCGCTTCAGTAATTGAATTTATTGCTTGTCTGGAAAAATATCTTATTTTATACATAGTACTTTTGGACTAAAATACTTACGGAAAGGGAATCAAAGCTTTGAGAAATAATAATGTGAGAATTCCACCGAAAAGAATAAATCCCAGTCGCTGAGAGTAGTCGAAATTTTCATTCTGAGATTTTCTAGTCACAACCATTAAATCTGTTTCCACTTATGTAGCACTTTCTAACGGAAGATTTTGTTCAGTTAACCGCTTATTTAGAAGTGGATAATATTATATAAAGATTTTGTACAAGATAACTACAGAGATCGCAGAAAAAGTCTTATTTTTTCGTAAGTTGTTAGTAAACTTATAGTCTCCGACTGCAATATGTCAGGATATCAAAATCCATCTTAAAAGTGCCCTAACAAGTCTGTTAAATCGTATTACTTATCACATACGGTCGCTACAAAAAACACCTGAATTATGACATAACAGATAATGTTATGTGAATATAATATATAAACAGGTGATCCGGATTTCTTCGAGAACCGAAGATAAAACCAACTTTTAATTAAATTATATTCAGACATAAATTCTTCATGATAATCTGATGGTAACTGAAGAACTACTGCAGTAGTTTGTGAGAGCAAATATTAAAGATATCACCCCCCCCTATTTCACTATTCCGAAAAAGCTTCACGTTCCGCTATCATATGCGCTGTGACAAATTTACTCCAGCGGCAAAAGTCATTAGCCCGGATATGTAGATATAGGCGAATTCTTTGAATCAGGTAATTCTTTTCACAATAGCTCCCCTGGCAAAAGTCTTATTTTGAGAAGTCAGCAAATGAATATGCGTATTCAAGAAATATATCTTAGGATTTTGTTGTTGGCTAGGGGGAAAATGACTCTGGTATGACTTAAACTAAAATTTCTGTAATGACTTCAGTATCTTAACTGGTTATTCATTTGTAAAGAAAGACTTATTAACTGGGCTAATTGCCCAACTTTTAATAAGTATACACTAGCTGTCATAATCAGATGTTGGAAATGGTATAAACGTTGGATTGAGATAAAAAAGAACTTTAAGTTATAATAGGAAATGTGTTTGCTTCTGCTTAAGCAGTTAGTTTTCTCCTGTTTTCACTTTGACGGTTCATTAACTCCACCTAAACAATTTACTTGTTAGCATGGATAATATAATCCTTAAAAGCGTCAATGAAAGTAATAACTTATGTTTTTTAATTACCGCCAAGTCGATATGGTTATGTTTCTGTTAAATGATTTCTTTCCAATGAAGTAACAAACTACCAGCAATGTCTAATAACGCCCCATTTCA